GATCAAGACTATTCTGGCCAACATGGTGAAATCCCATTTCTACCAAAAATACAAAAATTGGCTGGGTATGGTGGTGTGTGCCTGTAATCCCAACTACTCGAGGAGCTGAGGTAGGAGAATTGCATGAACCTGGGAGGTGGAGGTTGCAGTGAGCCAAGATCGCACCACTACACTCCAGCCTGGCGACAGAGCGAGACTCCATCTCAAAAAGAAAAACATTCCAGATTGATTATGGATGTCTGCCATGCAGAGGGGAAGGGAAATGATGGCATCTGTGCTGCGTGTTGTCATCCTGGGCCACCCAATGCAACCACATGCTTGCTCAGCAAAAGGAAAACTCCACAAGCTGAGCTCCAGATGCGTCAACATGGTAGTAGATAGATGGGTCAGTTGGAACTCCCTGAGATTTGTTTCTCCAAAGCAAAATGTCCATGCACTATATGTCTTTCCCCGATAGCAGAGGCAGATGCAAAGCAGGAAGACAAGGAAGATAAATGCCATTGGCTTTAGTGCTAAATCATGCTGTTCACTCAGCTTTTTCTTGAGTTGACCACATGCCCACCTGTGGCCAGTGGATCAGTACTTCAGATCCGTGAATATACAATACTTCAGGGGATGTCCAGTTTTATACCTAGCCTTGCATCTCAGAGGGGCAGGCAATGGGGAGCCAACTAGACCCTGACTACACATACCACACCCTGTGATGGATGGTGAGGAGCTCAAGGTGGCCAACGGTGGGCTCCAGGTGCCTCTCCGGTCATCCCACATCCACCCCACGGCCTGGGCCAGTAAGGGGCACCTATAGGTCCTTAGACCTATAGGACTTCTGTGCCAGCCCCAAACAACTGGCCAGTACATGCCTCTGGGAGAGGGGTTTGTGTAGAACACTGCCTGCTGATTGAAACCACCTGGGCTGGAGACAGGACAGTCACACAAACACCTGGCAGGGCAAAGGGAGCATAGGAGCCTGGCAGGAAGGAGGAAGGGGCATGGACACGATTGTGAGGGTCCTCCCTGGCAACATCCCGGCTTGGGGTCTGGCTGGGTTTGACAGTTTCCTGCTTCTGAGGGGCCCAATCTGATGAGAAGGGCGGCTGCAGCAGGGTTGGGTGGGCTGGGCTCAGTGGCAGCCGCAGGCCTTGACCACCATGTTGCGATGCTTGCGCAGGATGACGTTGTTGCTGCTGTCATAGTAGAGCACGGAGGTGGCGCTCAGCTTGGTGGGCGCACAGCACGCCTTGGGGACTGCGTCTGGTGTCATCAGGTGTACCTGGCCAGGGAGGGGAGCACAGGCAGGGGCATGAGTCCAGTGGCCGCCTCCGAGGACCCACCCAGCCCCACCCCAGCTCCACCTGCTCCCCACCCTGGCCATCTTTAGGCCACAGGGGAGCAGCACAATAATAACTATTCACAGGAATAAGAACAGCCCTCGGGGCTCTGGGAACAGGAGCTGTGGTGACCAGGGAGGGACACATGGCAGGATACCTGTGGGGCAGGCAGACAGGGTGCTAATGAGGGGTCTCAAGTCCCAGGCCAAGGGCTCAGACTTCCTTCTGGGGATGATGGGAAGGAGAACCGCATGGCTGGGTTTGTGCCTTAGTGAGGTCCCTGAGGGGGAGCCTGGAAGGACCACTTCCTTCTTTTGGCCCTTTGGACCCAGAGGCTCCACCTCCCATGCCCTGCCTCCCTCCCCAGGCTCTTGGAGCCCAGGCCTTGGTCCCTCTCCTGTGCTGCTCTCCAGACTTGCGGATCCTGATCCCCTCCCCAATTCTACACTTAGGGTCTAACAGGGCACTGAGTTCCTCCCACCCTGCCATCACAGCCCTGCCTGGGAGGCCTCCTGGACACCTCCTCTCCCCTTCTCCCTTCCCTGGGAGCAGTCCCCTAGCTCAACCTCTATGTTGCCTCGGACCACCTGCCTAGTCCAGCTGCCATCACCTGCCAGGTGACCACAGCAACCCTCATTCATCCCCTGCTCCTCCACCTTCCACTGCCGACCCCCCTACCTGAGCCTCCTGCAGAAGCCAGAGAGAGGTCCTTCTGGAGGGTGATGTGGACCAGAACACTGCTTTGCTAAAAACCTCCGACAGCCTCTTGAGTTACTTGGAATAAAATCCACCCTCCTTCCCAAGGACCCCCAGACCCTAGGGGAGGTGGCCCTGCCCACACGGGCATCACCTCACTCCACCCTCTACCCTCCTCCTCTCACTGCACCCAGTCCCTCCTCCCTGCTGGCCTGAACCTGCCAAGCTCACTCCTGCCTTAGGGACTTGCACTTGCTCCTTCTGCTGGAACATTCCTCCTCCAGCTGCTGATGTGCCCCTCCTTGTGCAGAGAGAGGCCGGGCCCTGTTTCCCTTCACCTACAGGGCAGCTGCTCTGCTCTTCCTCATAGGAGGCTTCAGCTCCATGGTTGGTTTGCTTTGGACAAACCAACAAACCAGCAGCTTCCCCTAGAGTGCAGTGCCTGTCTGTCTGCTGCCCAGCAGGTTGTGAGCACTCACTTTAGTTAAGCCCCTGAGGGGCAACCACAGAGGCAAGGGCAGAGGGGATGGAGTCTGGGAGCCGCTGCACGTGTGCCTCCCACACATGCAGCCGTGAGAACCACACGGCATAAAGGGTGGCTGGGTCAGGCCGCCACACCTGTCCTTGTCACCCCTGAGCCTTTCTTTCCAAGGAGGCAGATCCAGGTGTCCAGCAAACACCATTTGACCACCCAGAAAGGAAGCGTTATCACAGGCTCAGAGCTGCTTTTGGTAATTCCTTTCCTCCCACATACCTTGTAACAACTTCCTACGAGCAAACCATAAGGCTACGGAATACCAGGAATTAAGATTCTAGGTAAAAATTTCTGGATGGAAGCCTGGGTGCCAGAATCTGCAAACACCCAGAGCTCTCAGCAGTGAGCAGCACCAGTGATCCCATCAGAAGCCGCTTTCATCACTTAAGGTTGCCCGACACGACACCGAGGCACCAAAAGCCAGGGGATCTGGAGAAAACACAAACGGCCAAGAGAGAAACAGGGAAAAGCCAAAGGGTAGAGAGCCACACCATGTAGACGCTCCCTGCCTGCGCTGTGGCACAGGTGGGTGAGTGCACACCCACGTCCCTCATGCTGTGTGACATGTCCTGGGCGGGCAGACTTGCCAGCGTACTCAGGTGCCCGTGTATTAAGATCACAGTCCCCACACGGCTGTGCACGTCCATTTCGTGTGCTGTGCCTCTGACCATAGGAGCTGTGCCTCTGTCAGTCTGGGCACCGCACACAGGTGCATAAGTGTCCCACGGGAGCATGTGCGGTGCGTAAAACAGGCGTGTGTACACGGCTGTTTAGTGTCAGTGTGGGGTGTGTCTGTGTTCAGGTGCGAGTCTACGTGGGCTAGCGTGGCTGTATGAGGACCAGGTCCTGCAGAGCTGTGGGAATTTTGTGACATTACTGACTCCGTGCAGAGGAAGCTCCCTGAGACATGGAGCAGGTACCCTCCCTGCCCTTCCGGCTGGCTGGACCAGATCCCTCTTTGCAGGGCCCTCCACCCCAGGAGGCTGGGCAGGACAGGCACAGTACTGACCAGGGACTGCAGGATGGCATGGTTGGTGGTGTTCATGCAGGAGCCCAGCGGGAAGGAGCACTCCCCCTCACAGTAATAGGCTGAGTAGCCTTGCGGGGCGATGACCCAGTCCTGGGGGGCATGGGAGAAGGTGAGTCCCATCCACGTGCCCCTTCTAAGCCCCCCCAATCCTGCCAGAGGACTTGCCACAGGAGGGCCCAGGGCTGCCCCTGATCCCCCCAAGCCTCAGGGCCCTGCAGGGCAGCCTCCCCTCAAGAGGCCTGAATACACCCAGGAACCCACAGCAGACAGGGCTGAGCAGGGAGGCACTGCCACCCTGGCCTCAGTTTCCCTGGGGCAATGCTAACAGCTTGGTTGCAGTCTTCATTTTCCTGGTTATAAAATAAAACGTCCTTTCTCACCATGTTCTCACTTTAGAAAACTTGTAAAAAACACAAGAAAAAAATACATAAGAAGATTGAAATCTACGTCCTCCCTGCAGATTCCCTTCTGCTCCACAGGTGGCGATTTCAGAAACAAGGACAAGAGTCAGCACTTACCAGCCAGCCGAGGTCCTGGAAGCTGACGTAGAGCTCGTGCCGATGGCAGACCTGCCGGCCGTGAGAGCCGTGGACATCATCTGTAGGGACAGAGGGGCAAGGTCTTTTCTGGGGTTCCTGCTCTGTGCAGCTGCTGCGGGTTACCAGGGTGGAGGACCCCCTGATAAGCACATTTGTCAAATGAATGACAGGAAACCATTTGGTCTCATAAAGCCCATCCCTGGAACTCTGCTTGTACCATGACCCAGGCTCAAGAGCCTGCCATGGCTCCCAGTGGTTAGAGTGACACTGTGCCCAGCCCTCCCATCCTTCAGCCTGTGAGCGTCTTGATGCTCCAGTAAACAGCCCAGCAGGACCCTGGGCCATCCTGTGCCGCTTTCTCCTCTCTGGAGAACCCTGTGACTCCAGCCCACCCTCTCCTGCCACACCCATTCCTCAGGTTCAAGTGGCTGACAACCAGGCCAGTCAAGGGCCGACTCCCTGGGAAGAAGGGCACAGGGTCGGGTCAGGCCTGTCCCTGATCCTGAAGGGCTTGGCCCAGTTGGGGATAAAACTTCGCATAAGTAGCCGAGGGTCCTGCAGGGTGCCCGGGCACAACCGCGGGCCACAAGGGGCTGTGGCGCCCAGGGAAGGGGCAGCCGATTCTGATGGAGGCTTCTGGGAGACCTGGAGGAGCCAGGGAAGGGAGAGAAGGGGCCTTCTGGGTGGCAGGGACAGCCAGGACAGCCAGGACAGGCCTCTGGAGTGCCGATCACCAAGGTGCATCAGGGCAAAGATGGTGTCAGGGAAGGGGGCTGGAGAGTGGCCATCAGCTTGAACCGACCTGAGCCCGAGGACTCTGGGCCACCTCCTGGTTCTCGCCCTGCCTCTCTCAGCCGGAAGCCTGCAGGGCCTCAGCCCCAGCCCGCCCGGTCCTCACCGAAGATGCCCGGGAGCCGGCTGTCCTGCGGCAGCTCATTGGTTTTCTTCGGCTGCCTCCTCCTCAGTGGCCTCACTGCCCGAGGGGTGCGGACGGGATTCTGACTGACCCTGAAGAAAGTGACCATGAAAGGCTGTCGGGAGCACGGGGCCTGTTGGCCCAGCAGGCTGGCCAGGCCAGGATCCACGCTGTGCCCTGAGACAGAAAGGAGAGAGGGGTCACTCATGGGCAATGGGCCTGCAGCGGACACAGCAGGGATCTCTCTGCCGGGCCTGGGCAGGTCCAGGGGTGTGGAGGCTGAGGACCCCAGGGGCCCTGCTGAGCCTCAATTTCTACATTTGAAGCCTGGAGCCCTTGGTCCAGCCCCGGCCAGTCCACATCTCTCCTGGGGCAGATCTGGAGGAGGTGGGGGAGGGGGAGGGCCTCGGTGAGCTGCAGGTGGCGTCATTAGCGACAGCTGTGACACAGACATTTATGAAGCACTTTACGAGTTTGAAGATTTTTTCCCGCAGATCACCTCATTGGGTCCTTACAGTAACCCTGTAGCTCCTACCTCACAGGAGACGCAGAGTCCCACGGCCAGTGACTCCCAGAAGCAGTGCTCCCACCTTGGTCTGAGGACCCCAAGGCCTGTCTTCCGTTCCACACTTTCTGGGGTGTCAACATCAAATTTATGACCGAGACAGCTCGTGGCAGCATCTGCCAAGTTAGGGAGTGCTTGCTCATGCCAAGAGCAGGGCATGAACTATTTCCCTGATGCCTACAAGGGAGGCACTGGCGGAGCAGAGTCGTTGGAACCAAGTCCCAGAGCCCAGGTTTCCGCCTGCAATAGTCTCATTCCAGAGCCCAAGTTCTATACGAGGCTGGGTTTATATACAAAAAGAAAGAAAAGGCTGAAGCAGAGAGCTGACTTGGGCCTCAGCCCCAGAAGAATTGAAGCCTGTAAACGGAATTGTCCCCCACTGCCACTTCCGGACTGAGGATGCCGCTAAAAACATGGTAACTAAGCCTGGAGACGCCAATCTCACCAATAAACCTGTGCATCATCCTGTACTTGTTTGGATTTCAATAACCTTTCTATTGTAAAAGCAATTAAGAAACTTTTGAGGCCAGGCAAGGTGGCTCACGCCTTTAATCTCAGCACTTTAAGAAGATGAGGTGAGAGGATTGTTTAAACATAGGCATCTGAAACCAGCCTGGGCAACATAGTAAGACCCTGTCTCAACAAAAAAAAACAAAAGTTAGTTGGGCGTGGTGGTGAACTACCCAGGAGGCTGAGGTGGGAGGACTGCTTGAGCCTGGGAGGTTGAGGCTGCAGAGAGCTGTGACTGTGTCACCACACTCCAGCTGAGCGACAGAGTGAGATTCTGTTTCAAGAAGAAAAAAAAAAAACACGAAACTTTTTCTCATGTTCAAAGAAGTCTCCACAATAAACATTTCAAATGTGTAAAATCCCTTGGAGCAGTATACCATAATTTACTTGATATTGGCTCATGATTAGACATGTGGGTTACTTCCTGGTTTTCACAATAAAGATGGGAGTGCAATGGATCCTCTTCACTGCGTGCATGGGTGAAATTTCCTGACGCTAAGTTGCAAAAGCATGATTGCCATCTCATTTTCATGTCCCTTTAAACAGTGCCAATTGTTCAGTTTACACGAGAGCACATTTCACCGCCAAGTACAGATGTGCGTGCATATGTACACACACTCATATATGTGTCCGTATAAACACAGATGTACATATGCTTAGACATTACACATACAGATGTATTTATTCCTGCGTGGTTCTCCAGTACACCCTACAGGCCAAGGACATTGCCTGCCCCACCCTCAGTCCCACTCAAAGGTCAGCCCTGAAGCAGCTATGCCTCAGCCCCAGTGTCCCTTGGCCACTTGATTGAACAACCAGTGAATCCAGAGACCAACCTTTGACCTATAACATCACCTGCCACAGAAAAACTCGCTGGCAGGAGAGGCTCTCTCTCAGGAGCGTGGACAAGAGCTTCTGAGACGGACGCTGTGGGCTGCAAGCACTGACGGGAAGGAGGCCCAGGGAGCACTGGGCAGAGCTCGGCTCACGGTGAGTCAAGGTTAGGGGGAAGCAGCAGAATTACAAGGAACAGAGCTGGGTGCAGAGGAAAAGGCAAGTGAGGCCACAATGGGGAGAGGACAGAGCAGCCGAGTGGGGTGGCAACGGTCACCAGCCCAGGCACTGGAATGGCACTCTGCAGACTGGCTGACACATGGGGATGGCCTGGGGCCCAGGGCAGCCCTCCCGGCTGTATGTGTGGCTCTGTCCTGATTCCCTGGGGAGCCCTGGTGGCCATGGGGCCAGGGAGGCCATCAGTCCCACAGGCTTTGGTCACTATTTGCTATTGTGGGGCTGTGTTCAGGGGTCTTACGGGGGTCTCCCAGATGCAGGATAGAATATCGCATTAGATCAGTTACACTACAGACCCTCACAGAGCCCCTCTGAGCCAGGCCTGGCTTAGGTGCTGGGAACCCCTCTGTAGGTCTCACAGGCCAGGCGAGCCTGACTGGGGACCTTTGGAAGCAGCTAATCCCAGGTTCCCATTTTACAGAAGTGGAAACTAAGGCTCAGAGAGAAGTAACTTTCCAAGGTCCCAGAGCAAGGTGGGTCAGAGCCACGACTGTCATACACTTTCCCAGCACACCGCAGGGGCCCGGCTGGATGTGGCTCGGGGGAATGGGAGGCGGTGAAAGGGGACTATCAGTGGGTCTCGGTTCAGAGCTCTGCAGCTGGCAGGCCTGGATAAGCTCTCCCACCTCCACCCCTCTCCTTCCAGAGCCCAGAGCCTCCCTTCTCCACCAGCTCAGCTTTTTGCCCACCCATCTTCGGGCAGGACCCCCTGGTTCTAGCTGGCTGCAGAGAAGGCCAGGCAGTCCATGTAGGGGGCTCTCAGGATGCCCAGCTGTGGGCAGACCCCTTCCAGAAAGGCAGAGGTGGAGGCCCAGAGGGTCACTTGTCCTTTCCTAGACACCTCAGCCTTTTCCACACCATGCTGGGAAACTCTTTGACCCCCAGGGCAAATCAGGTGGTCCTCTCCAGGAGCCCCAAAAGGCACCCCACTGCCCACCCAATGACATTTCATTTCAAGCCCCCACCCCAACCATAGTCCCAAGCCCCTTTCCAACACCCCCAGGCTGTCCCCTCCATGAGCGCCAACTCTCCCTTCCCTTCTCTCCTTCCTAGGATCTGGCCTTTCCTGCAGGGCGAGGCTCCAGTGAGCCCCTTGGAAAGTCTGTCCTTGACCAGTGAGAACTTAACTGCTCTGACCACATGCCCCTATCGGCCTGGGAACCCCCAGAGCTACACTTACACAGTTCGTGCACCATGCCACGCTTGGTTGTCAACAACACACACACACACACACACACACACACACACAATCTTTTCTTCATTTTAGGTTTTGAGACTATGGATTCAGGAGGAAATGCCTCACAGCCTCTTGGGTTACAACAGAGCATCACACAAGAGGCCAGTTTGGGCCTCTGTTCCAGAGAGGAAGGTCTAAGTGACTGGTCTAGATGACACAGGAACAATTCAAATGAAGTTGAGAAAACTCATCTAGTCCCTTGGTTAGGGTTCTAGAAGTCCTGTCCTAGGCTGTAGCCTTTGGCCACACATAGAAAGAGGAAGCTTCCTGGTGGATTTCAGCACCCACAGTCTCTCCCCACTCTGTCTCCCATCACCTGGTCCCTTCCCTTGAAGATGGTCCTGCTTTCCTTCTAGGGACATCTAGAAGCTTGATATCTCATTAGTCCCAGGAGGAGAGATGTGGGAGGAGGAGGGGAGGCTGCAGGGAAACCTGATTTAACAACAAAGGTGCCAGAAGAAACATCAGGGGAGATAAAGGATAAAAACGTTCAAGAAGTACAGGCGCGGTGGCTCACACCTGTAATCCTAGCACTTTGGGAGGCTGAGGCAGGTGGCTCACTTGAGGCCCAGAGTTTGAGACCAGCCTGGCCTACATGGGGAAACGCAATCTCTACTATTGAAAATATATATACAAAAAATAGCCAGCCGTTGTGGCATATGCCTATAATCCCAGCTACTTAAGAGGCTGAGACACCAGAATTGCTTGAACCTGGGAGGCAGAGGTTGCAGTGAGCCGAGACTGTTACCACTATACTCTAGCCTAGGTAACAGAACGAGACTCTGTCTAAAAAAGAAAAGAAAAGAAATTACAATAAGTTAAGGTTAATTGGCCCAACACAGTGGCTCACGTCTGTAATTCTAGCACTTTGGGAGGCTGAGGCAGGTTGATGCTTGAGCCCAGGAGTTAGAGACCAGCCTGGGTAACATGGTGAAACTCCATTTCTACTAAAATAAACAAACAAAAAAATTAACGAGGCATTGTTAATTTTTTTAATACACAGGTGTGTGCCCATAGTCCCAGCTACTCAGGAGGCTGAGATGGGAGGATTGCTTGGGCCCAAGAGGCAGAGGTTGCAGTGAGATCACACCACTGCACTCCAACCTGAGTGACAGAGCCAGACCCTGCCTCAAAAAAGAAAAACAAATTTGTCAAGACAGCATGTCTTCAAATCACAGATTCACATCTTGGTTCGCCTATTTCTCATTGCAGTAGTAAAATGGCCTTTTCGGTGTACTCTGGGTGAAGTGATTTTCTCCTTCATCAGTTTTTATCTCCATTTCACAGTTCGAGTATGAGGGAGGCGCTTGAATGAAATCCTGCCGTGGATGCGCTCAGGCTGTGTGCACTCCACCTAAATGTCACAGAATAAAGCAGCCATCCCTCACAGCTACAGACCTGCGCCTTGCAATGCTCGAGGAACACAGAGAGGAGCTGATCTGTTTTCCTTGTGTGTTTAATTAAAGTCCCAGCTCTCTAGAGGAGCACAGTCCACCTAGGGAGGAAAATTGGAGGCCAGCAGCAAACCCCTCCCAGCGCTGGGGAAATGCATTCCTGCGGTGACCAACGTCCCCTGGGGAACCTGGTGGGGCCCCCTGAGGAGCGCACGTCCCCGCCCAGCTTCGCCTCCCTCAGGGTGCCACCTACTGCATGGGCCTGAGGTTCGGGCACACGGCGAAGTCACAGCCCGTGCTCTTTCTGATGTCATCCACAGTCAGGCCCTCCCAGAGCTCCCTCAGCGTCAGGCCTCTCTTCCTGTGCACGTCGAACACAGCCTTCTCTGTGATGATGCGGTCCACACACCGCTTCCCGGTCAGCGGCATGGTGCATTTCTCCATGATTTTGGGGGTGTTGTCCTTTGCGCAGTGCTGCATGGTGACCACCACTCTGGTCTTCTGACTGGACACCAAGTCCATGGCACCGCCCATGCCTTTCACCTTCTTGCCGGGGATCATCCAGTTGGCCAGGTCGCCGTATTTGGAAACCTGCATGGCTCCGAGCATGGTTAGGTGGAGGTGTCCCCCTCGGATCATGGCGAAGGAGTCGTCGCTGGCGAAGCAGCTGCCCCCAGGAAGCACCGTGACCGTCTGCTTGCCTGCGTTGATGAGGTCCGGATCCACCTCGTCTTGTGTGGGAAACGGGCCCAGGCCCAGGATCCCGTTCTCACTGTGAAGGTGGACGGTCATGTGGGGGCTGATGAAGTTGCTGGCCAGCAGGGGGATGCCTATGCCCAGGTTGGCGTACGTGCCGTCCTCAAATTCCAGAGCTGCGCGTCTCATGATGCGCGTCTTGGGTCCTCTTCCTTCAGGGCGTCTGCACCTTCCTCTTTCCGGATCGTTAAGCGCTCGATTCGCTTCTCGTATTTCGGCCCCTTTATCACGCGATCTACATAAATGTTAGAGACGTGGATGTCTTCTGGGGGGAAAGTCCCCACGTCCACGATCTCTTCCACCTCCGCCGCCGTGACGTTTGCGGCTTTGCACATGGGCACGTTGAAACTGCGGGCGCTTCTCCTGAAGACCACGTTTCCCGCCCGGTCTGCCTTCCAGCCTTTCACCAGGGCGAAGTCCGCCCGGATGGTGCGCTCCAAAAGGAAGTGGTCGCCGTGGAACTCCCTCACCTCTCGGGGCTGGCTCATGACCGCCAGGTGGCCGTCCGGGGTGTAAGGAATGGGGGTGCCCCCTTCCTGGACGAGGGTCCCGTAGCCTGTGGGGGTGTAGAAGGCGGGCACCCCGGCACCCCCCGCGCGGATGCGCTCGGCCAGGGTGCCCTGGGGCGTGAGCTCCAGCTCCAGCTCGCCCGCCAGGTACTGCTTCTCGCACAGCGAGTTCTCGCCCACATAGGAGCAGACGATGCGGCGGACCTGCCTGGTGGCCAGCAGGAGGCCCAGGCCGAAGTCCTCCACGCCCACGTTGCTGCTGACCACCTTCAGGTCCTTCACGCGGGTCCTGAGCAGCGCGGCGATCAGGTTCTCGGGGATCCCGCAGAGCCCGAAGCCCCCCATCATGACGGTGGCCCCGTCAGGGATGTCCTTCACCATCTCCACTGGGTCCCTGTAGAACTTGGCGCGGCGCCGGGGGCTGGTGGTAAAGCGGCGGGCGCAGCCCTGGGACAGCGCGAGCCCTGAGCCACCGATGGGGACCCCGCGCCCGAGCGCTGAAGCCAGGAGCCGCAGCGCCGCCATGGTCGGCCGGGGTCCGAGGCCAGGACAGGCCGTGTGAGCCCCGTGTGCATCCCGGGGGGCCGTGCGTCACAGAGCAGGGAGTGCGCCCGAGCCCTGAGGCACCCCTCCCAGCCTCCAGGCCAGGCTCAGGACAGGAAGGAGGCTGCTCCCCAGCTCCGCCCTGTGGTTCCTCCCCACCCCCGCCATGGGGGCACCTGCCCGATTCCCTCCTGCCCCAGTGGAGCCTCAGACACAAACTCCATCCCCCTCCCCCCTCCCCCAGCTTCCCCAGAGACAAGTATCTACTGAGCAGGCGCTGCTGGGTGACATCTAGGGTCATGACCACCCTCACTGGGCACTCACGCTGTGCCAAGCACCCTCCTTCAATCCTGTGACAACCCGGAGAGTGGGTGCCTGAACCGCTGTAGCACACCTCACAGTGACAGCGGGGACACTATCCCTCACCTCCATCAGGAAGGGTCCCTGCTCTTAAGAGGCCCCCCTCTTGTCCTCCTCATCCCCTGCCCCCTCCACCTCCCCCCTCCAGCTCCCCCCTTCAGCTCCTCACTCCACCTGCCCCACTCCAGCTCCCCCTCCTCCTCTCCACTCCACCTCCACCACTCCAGCTCCCCCTCCACCTCCCCCCTTCACCTCCACCACTCCAGCTCCCCCCTCCACCTCCCCACTCCACCTCCACCACTCCAGCTCCCCCCTCCACCTCCCCACTCCACCTGCCCCCCTCCAGCTCCCCCGTCCACCTCCCCACTCCAGCTCCCAGCTCCAGCTCCTAGATCCAACTTGTTTGGAATTTTGCAGTTTTCTTCCCTCTGCTCAGAATCACTCCAACGCCACAGCAGTGAGCAGGCGTCTCCTCACCTGTAGAGGACCTGCCTTGTCCCTGGTTCTCTCCAGCCCCAGCCCCTGTCTCTGCTCCCCTTCCCCAGCAAAGGTTCTGGAAAGCACTGTCTCCTGCCCACACTGCCTGTCTCCCTCCACCTCCCAGTCACACCCACACTCCCCCGAGATTTGGGTCAACAACCTCTGTGTGGCAAAACCCTCGGTCACTTCTCGGTCCTTGCCTTTAGTGCCCACGGCAGGACACAAATGACAAACCCTTGCTTCTGGAAACACTTTAATCTGGCATCTAGGTCACCTCAGTCTCCAGGTGTCCTGCTCCCTCCCTGGCTGGTCCCTCTGGGCTCACTGTGGCCCCTCCTTGAGAACTCTCTGGATGCTGGAGGCCCCAGGGCTCTGGGCCAGGCCCCATCTCTTCTGCGTCACTGTCTTCCTTCCCTAGGCAACTGGTCCCGCCCCATGCTTTAAATCCACTTACATGCCAGCACTTCCCACACCTGGGTCTTCAGGCTCACCTGTCCCTGAAGTGGCATTTCCATGAGGACCAGGGATCTCAGTAACATCCCAGTGGGCACCATAATATTCCAGCCAAAAGAGACCCCTTGACCACCCACTTCAAACCTGCCCTTTATCTATCTTTCCCCAGTGCAGGCCAAAAAGAAAAATCTATTAGAAACAATGCACTGGTTCCATCCACGCATCATTCAGGCTTCCTCCCTTTCCTTCACCTCCTCGCCAGCTATAACCACGTCCTGACACTGAAATCAACCCACCTTCCTCCACCTCTACTGCTACCCACAGCCACTCGCAGAGCCCACCTGGACCACTGTGGGGTCCCCACGGGCCTCTCTGACTTCACTCTCATCCATCTCAGTCTATTCTCCCCCACTGAAGTAGGGGATTCTTTATTTTATGCATATATTCAGTAAAGTTTTAATTTTACAACAGTTGATATTACATAAAAATTTGCAAAGATAGTATAGAGGCTGAGGTGGGAGGATCGCGCGAGCCCAGGAGTTGGAGGTTACAGTGAGCTGTGATCGCGCCACGGCACTCCAGCCTGAGCAACAGAGCCAAACCCTGTCTCAAAGAAGAAAACAATAGCACAGGGAGTTCCCATACACCTGGACCCAGTTGCCCTGGGAATGTTACTATTTTACACTAGTAGGGTACCTGTCTCGTAACTAACAACCAATACTGATATTCTTATTAAGTAAATCCCATGATTGATCTGGATTTCATAACGTTTCCCTAATGCCCTTTCTCTGATCCAGGACCCCACCCAGGACCCCACATGCATTCAGCCCCTTAGGCACCTCTGGGCTCCTCCAATTTCCCAACCTTCCCATTTTTGGATGAGCTTGGCAGTTTTAAGAAGCACTTATTAGGTATTCTGTGGAAAGCCCTTCTCTTCGGGTTTGTATGATGGTTTTCTTATGGCTGGACTGGCATTTCAGGTCCAGGGATGGGGACCTCTAAGGATCAGTGGCCTTCTTGCCTTACACCCAGGGCATGTGCTAGCTCTGTGCTGGTCACTGCAGTGAGCCTTCCTTACCTGGCTAAGGCGCTGCCCTTCAGGTCCCCCACTCCCCATCCAAACCGCACTTTTGGGAAGCAAGTCACTGAGCAGCCCATGGAAGGGCTGGGGAGCTCTGCTCCACCCCAGGAGAGGGGCATCTCAGATGGCTCTCTTTCAAAACCTGAATCAGGTCCTATCGTCCTCCACTGCTATTAAATAAAATAAATGACTCTAAGAATCCCAACACCCAGGCCCTAGTTTACCTTGACTCAGAATGGCCCCTGGGAACCCGCCCTCGCCGCTGCTTCATGGTGGCCCTTTGCTGGGTTTCAAACACGCCCATCTCATGCCCACTTTGGCCTTCGCATTCCCACTGCCTGGCACAAAGGAGGCTCTCCCCAGTATCACCCTTGGAGTGAACAAGGGTATGAATCCTCATCCTGTAGAAGAGAAGACGGTCTGGAAAGCTAAGTCCTGGCCAAGGTCACCGCGGCAGGGCACCGTCGGGCTGGGCTTCAAACCCAGCCTCCTGGCCTCAGCACCTGAGCATGCAGCCACTTCCCCTCCTTCCCTTCCCAGGGCAGAAACTCCCAAGGTGGAGGCTGCTCCGTGGGAAGAACCGCCCATTTCCTGGGAAGCAGAAGGAGAGGAGAGAGCACCCCCGCCAGGCCAGACCTCGAGCCCTGGACCTCACTGACCCTCGCAGCAGGCACAGCTGGTGAGGCCGGGCACCCACGGCCACAGGAGGTCACTACTGCTGCCTGTGTTGGCAGAGAGGAGCCCCAGGAGCTGCTCCCGCAGAGCCCCCAGCCTCACCATCCTCAGTCTCCACGTAGAGGCGGAGTCCCAGGTCCTTGTGATGCTTCAGCAACCAGTGGTCACTGGCCGCTGTGATGTCCAGCACCAGCCAGCCCTCAGCCCCAGCTCCAAGCGTCTGAAGATCCAAAAAGAACAAGTCAGACTCCCTGTGGACACGAAAGAACAATTAACTGGCGGCCGGCACAGCTGCCTCTGTGTCTGCAGGGCCCGCCTGGGGGCTGTCACAGGAGCGTCTCCCACCTGGCTCTGGTCTGTGCCCCTTCTGAGCCTCATCTCACTGCCTCAGCAGAGATGTACACATGGGGAAACTGAGGCTCAGTGACCTGTCCAAGTCCCCACAGCCAGGATGGCAGGACAGGGATCTGAAGGCAGGACTGTCACTGGGTGTGGGAAGTAGAAAAGTTCCTTTTTAAAGTTTCCTTTCTTGTTAAAGAGTAAGTGTGATAATAACGTTAAGTTTAGATTGTGAGGTCAGGCTCCAGCCAACAGATTAGACACAGCAGTAAGGACGACCCCAAATGCGTAAGGGATACATTTGTGTGTTTTCCATTGTTCATTGCACTCTCATAGCAAGATGGCCAGTGAGAGTACCCTTCCTGCAGTCCAGGAAGTAAAAATTGTGTTGCTGAAATGTCGTTTGTCTCAGTGCTAATTTTTCTTTGTGGCACCGAGCATTTATTTCCAACACTGGGGCTCTTCCCACAGTGCAGGGGCCTTGGGCCAAGCACCTCTCCTGTCTTTGAGGCTCTCTTTTGGGTCCTCTGGGAAAGGCTCCATTCACCCCCACTCCCTGCTGGGCTGCCTTGACCATGAGACTATGAGTTGGGTTGGGTGGGGAGCACCCAGGCCAAGGGGAAGGCACCTGTTGAACTGCTCCTGGACCACCTGGAACATGGTGACGTGGAGGGTGCTGTTGAGCAGGTGGGTGCTGGGCACCTTGTAAATCCGGAACTCCGCGGCCGTCACGGCCTCCCCAGCCGGGATCTGGGTCAGGTCAAAGTGGAACTCCTTCCAGTGGGGCTCTTGGTGGCCCAGGGCACGGTCTCGCTCCACTAGAAGACAAAGCAGAGCTGGGCTGGCACTTGGAATGGCTCGGGCTCTGGAGTGAGCAGAGCCGGTGTGAGCCCCTGCCCCCAGCTGCCCACCGCTCAAGGTGCAGGGGGACCCAGGAAGCCTGGGTGGGGCTGGCTTCATCCTCTTCAAACGTGTGTTCCAGGCTTGGCCCCGGGGCATGGACAGGGCTGAGGGGCTGTTGCAGCCAGGCACACCCTGAGCCCTGCATCTGGCTGTGCTCAACAGGCCCCAGGCTCCACACCCCAAACTCCCATTGCGCCCCTTCTCGGCCTTGGCTGGTGTTGAGACCCACAGATGAGACAGAGGGGGGAGCTTCCAGCTAAAGACAAGATGGACATTGGACCCAAGGCAGAAAAAAAGCCCTGACCCTGCAGGGAAACATGGTAGTCAGGGACACAACTGATGGCATGTCAGGGGACATGGGCCATCCAGAGCCTGCCCACTGCCTGGATGAGAGGTGCAGCAGGGAGGGCTCAGGGCTGACAGCTGAGCTGGGCTGAGGCCTGAGTGCGAATCTGCCATGGTGTCAGGGAGGTGGGCCCTGCAGGGGCCGGTCAGCCAAGGCAGAGGGTCAGAGCAGAGGGGCCTGAGGGCAGGGCAAGCACCAGGAGACAGCAGAGGGCAGGGGACCTACGTTTCCTTTGTGGAACAAGGTGGAGGAAGAAGGAGGGAAATGTGGAAAGGAACAAGAAAAACCAGGGCAGGAGTGACAACTACCAGAGTGGCCCCGTCAGGTGCCAGGGGGGTCGAGGGTCCCACTGGGTGGTGGGGTGTGAGCAGATGGCATCTGAACTGGCTTTGAAGGGTGGGATGGGGTCCTGGTAGGTGGACAGGTGGCAGGGAGGGCACTCTAGGGAGGGGGACCTCGCATGCACAGGGGTAGAGGCGCCCACAAGTCAGCAATGTTGGGGACCGTGCGTGAGCTCGGCTGTGGCCTGCCTGCTGAGGATGCGAATCCCGGGCCAGGAGCCTGGGCTGTGCCTCTGGCCAGTGGGGAGCACAGGGGTTGGGGGCAGCAGGGGGCGGCGTGGGTGGAGGGGAATAAGAAGACACTGCGAAGGTGAGGGTAGAGGCCAGGCTGGAGGCGAGATGGGCGGCAGGGCCCTGTGGCGGGGGCTGACCTGCCAGTCAAACAAAGGAATGAAGCCCACATTTCCCCAGGTGCCCGGAAATGCCCGGGACGCTACATTTAGGGCAGCCTCACTTTAGCCTCCCGTCCCTTTTAAATTCTAGAAATCTGTGTTTCCAGAAGGCAGAGGTGGGAGCCGCCCAGTGCCTTCCGCAAAACCCAACACTGAGATTTCAGTGATATGTTTGTGAGTCTTTTTAAACATTCTCTCTGGTTACTGGGCTCAGTGACCACAGTCAGGTCTGTAAAAGCACCAGGCTGTGCGGGCTGCAGCGGATGTGGGAGCACTTCCTGTCCTCTCGGTGGGGACCTGGTCCAGCCAGGGGCATGCGAACAGCTGTGCGGGGCGGGGGATGGGGCCAGACGTGTGTGGGCAGGAGGTGATGGCCGCTCATCCCAGCCCAGGGCAGAGCGGGAATGAACCTGCCTCGTCCCACAGCACCCAAGGGTGTCTTTGAAGTCTTAGTATTTGGTCAGAATCAAGACTTTGAATTATGTTTTTCTAAAAATATGTATTATTTCACTCATCTCATAAGTTCATCATATTTAATTTGGAAATACATATATCTAGTTCTTTTTTTGTGGGGGACACATTCTTACTCTGTTGCCCAGGCAGGAGTCCAATGGTGTGATCTTGGTTCAATGCAACCTCCACCTCCTGGGTTCAAGCGATTCTCCTGCCTCAGCCTCCCCAGTAGCTGGGATTACAGGCGTCCACCACCATGCCCAGTTAATTTTTGTATTTTTAGTAGAGATGGGGTTTCACCATATTGGTCAGGCTGGTCTGGAACTCCTGACCTCAAGTGATCTGCCCACCTTGGCCTCCCAAAGTGCCAGGATTACAGGCAGGAGTCACCACGCCCTACCTAGAAATACATTTACCCAGTTCTTACTGTGTGTACAACACTGTTCTGGGCACTGAAAAACACAAAAATGAGTAAGAAGATTTTTTTCCATACTCATGGAGTTTACCATCTAATGGAAGACATAAAATATAAACAAAAAGCAATAAAATATGGGATGTAATTTCTATTGTTCTACTCCAAATGCTTTGAAGGAAACAGAAAAGGTTATGGGTTCAAGACTAACAGGTGCTTTTCATAGGGTCCTCTGTATGGCCTTTGAGAAGGGAAAAGATTAAGATCAGACATGAACATTCTCAGGCGTTGCTGATAGGAATGCTATGTAGAGGAGAAATTTGGCAATACCTAGCAAAATTACATGTGAATTTACTCTTTGGCACAAAAATCCCAAAGACATACTGGCAAAATATGAAAAGACATGTGCAGAGGGCAATTCATTGGTCACAGGAAAGACACCAACCTATACCTGGTTCCCCAGGGACCTCTAAATGTTTATTTTCTACAAAATCATAAAAGCTGCCTTACATGGGCTAATGCTGAACCAGCTTCTGTCTGGGGGAGCAGCAAATGAATTTACTTTATAAATCATCTAAACCACCTTAATGTGACTCCTGAGAAAATAAACAATCATGAATCACCAACATGTGCTGATGGAACCCTCAGCCTCCTCCTCTAGCCATTGATAAAGCAACCTCTGGACCCCACGCTTCCAGGAAAGGCCACTGTGGGCAGGAGGTGGCTTCCACTGGCCACATCTGGGGCCCTGTGCCTGCCACTCCAGCCTAGGCCTCCAGATGCCAAACCCTGCGACCTTCAGCCCGACACCAACAAGGGCCCTGGCTATTTTTGTGCCCCGGGCAATTTAGTCTCATCCAGACAACCTAAATCTGTCTTATTTCTGACCAAAAAGTGGGACTTCAAAAGACACCCTCTTCCTCCAGCTCAGAATCCTGTGGCCTGTGACCTGTCCTGCCTACCCTCAGACCCTCCCTGACCCTAAAGGGCCCACAGGAAGAATGTCCCAGGCCCTCCCTGTGCTAGCCCTGCCATCTGTCCCTTGAGTGTCTTATGCCTTCTGGCTGCAGACGCCTCCCCCAGAGTTCCTCCTGGAAGCTGCACTCCCTTGGCAGCCTGCCCCTCTCTGTCTAGCTGAGAAGCCTCTGGTCCTCAGACCCCACACAGGTCAGGCTTTTGGCCTCTCCCAGCCCCCATGCCAGGCCTTGCTATCTCTGATCCAACTGTTCCTCTGGACAGCGAGCCCTTGGAGGGCAGGGACCGAGCCACGTGTGGACATCGGAGACTCCCATGTGGCTCATCGGCCGCCGTGTTCCAGGGCCCCAGAGCAGAGCTGTCCCAGCCCTTCTTCCTGTGGGCTGCTTGTCCCCAGGACAGCGACTTCATGGTTGGCACTCACAGCCATTTGGGCTGAGTATCGCTGCCAGTCTGGGTGTGGCTGCCATGTCCCCATGTGAGTCCATCAGAAGCCACCAACATTCCCGCTGCTGTGGACCTGCCTCCTCTCCCAGCCTGGCCCCTGAGGGTGGATGGTGGCTCCCCCAGAGCTCGGGGCACATGGGCCAGGCCTGCCTGGCTGGTCCCACAGGCAGCAAAGGCGGGAAGGGAGACCCCATTTCAGACCCGAAACAAGGCCCAGGCCCCACCGCCTCTGCAGGCCAAGGGAGGGCAGGACCCATGACCTGTTGGTTCTGCGTCCTGAAGAGGCTTCTCCCACCCAGAAATCTCAGCACCACCTCGAGGTGGCCCAGGGCTCCATGTCGAGGTATTTCCAGCCGGGTCTCATCACTGGCTTGTTTCAAGGGCTGTTTCCATATATGGTACTGCTCTCATAATTACCGGTCCGGCCTCAGACGACTCTGGACCCCAAATTAAAAGGGAACACCCACACACGCCACCACATCAAGCCTGCCAAGGCCAAGAATAGATCCCAGGAGATGTGAGCAAGAAAGATGCAATTCCTCCAGTTAAATCCCAGGAAAGAACTGAACTGTGGGAATTTTCCGGAAAGATGGTGACACATCCTCTCTTGCCTGTGGGGAAGAGGCTCTGGGAGGAGGGGGGCTGGGTGAACCTCCCCACTCTGTGCCTCACCCTGCAGGAGCCCCCATCAGCAGGCAGGGGGTAGGCACGTTCTTTGGTCAGAGCTGGAAAGGCCTTCAGGCAACCTTGCAGAGGTGGGGAAACTGAGGCCGAGGAGGGGCAGAGGGTTTCCAGGGTCACATGTCAGATTGGAGGCCTGTGATGTGGATGTTCACACTTGGGGCCAATGTGAAACGAGCGACCCCAGAGTTAATGGGAAATACCGGGATGGGGGTCACCCGCCAACAAGGCCCTCCTGTCAACAGACACCCGAGAATGCCCGTGAAGCCACCTTCCTCCAGGCAGGGCCCAGCGGGGACTTGGGGTCCCAGAGGAGGGCCCAGGGAGCTGCGGCACCCATCATCGGCCCCACACAGACAGAGAGGACGGCCCTGCTCTGTCCCACCCGCCCAGGCCCAGGCTCCTCCTGGCTCTCCGTGCTCCCTGCCTCCAGCTGGGCTCCTCTTTCCCTCAACTTCCTGCCACGGGGTGAGGGTGGGGGCAGGGAAGAGTCAGACTTGGTCCTTATTCTCAGGTTGTTCCGGGGTGGCTGGGGAGTAGGAGAAAGAGGGGCTAGGTGTGCCCCTGGATCGCACAGGCAGAAAGCGACTGGAATCCTGAGAGAAGTGCACCCAATGCAGGACAAGCGCTCCTGTCAAGGTCACGGTCATGGTCACGTATGATGCCTTGGAAGAAGGAGGCAGAGAAAACTTTCCTTGAAAACATATTTAAGAGGGGAACTCTGAGGAACAGAACTGGAAGAAAGTCGAGTAGGGAAAGGCTGAGAGGTGGGAGATGCTGTGCCAGGTGGCACTTTTTAAGCACTGACCCGTGTGTCAGGCACCACACTGCACACATGCTGTACAGCCTTCCTGTTCATGCTAACCTG